AATATTAGATGGTATTGAAAAGGCAGAAAGAAATGTACTTCCAATTTTAAATAATTTATTGGAAAATAGAGAAATGTATTGGTATGCTAAAAAAGGATTGCCACGTATTGATTTTGTTTGTCATATTCTTACCAAAAAATTGTTGCATGAATGAATATTACCATCGTGGCGTAAAGAATTCAAAACTGCATAGAATAAATTAACCATGCATACTGTAGCATTAAAAATATGCAGTAGTATTTAACTGATATCAAAATTGGACATGTTCTTGTCCTTATTTCTTTTAAAAAAGATTTTTATTAAACAAACATCTTGGTTAATTCTCTTGGGAAGATAAATTCATCATTTTTCCGGAAGAGTTGTCATTATTTTATGGTTTACATTTTCTAAATCTAATTTAAGCACAACGAAATTCTCAATATCCGTTTATTACAGAAGCTAAAGAAACTTTCTGAGAAATTACTCAAATGTTGACCTTAATTAATTGCACACAAGTCAATTTAATAATCGATCTGGAGGCGGAAGACAGACTCCATGCAGCGAAAGAAGGCCTGGGAGATATAGACAAAAAGTTGAGTTAAAAAAATGATAAGAGGAAGAGATAAACGAAAACTATAAAAATTAAAAACAGAGATAGAAGACCTTACGAAGACTTTTAATTTTTTGTTAGACGCTTGTTGGGTAAGATATGATAATTAGTGTTTTTAGAATTATGACGCTACTGAACTTAACATCAAGACTAACTAGGATCGGTTTTTTTTAGGATCGAGTTATAACGAAATCAACAATTAAAATTGAATAATAAATTTAATAGACGCGTACTGGGTAAGATGTCAAATTAACATTTTTAGAATTATCACATTACTGCATTTAATATCAAGGTTAACTCGAAAGGTTGTCTATTTATTTATATTTTTCGATTGGCTGCATTTATAGTTAACGTCTAAATTACCGAATTACAGTGTTTCTGCATTGTATTGCAGCAATGGCGGGAAGATTAATTTGAAAAGGCAATGGTACGAATTTTAGTTTTTTTTATTTCTTATTTATTTATTTTTTTAATATGCAGTATAAATATTTATTAATGGATTGGATTTACCTGTACTAGATTTAGTACATTGTACTAAATTTAGTACAGTAAATAAACTGAAATTTTGGCCAATTAAAAAAAAATAACAGTGCTTAAAATCAATAAACTACTTACTTATGTCAGGAGGCTTCCATAATAAATCTTATAGGCCCGTCGGAGTTGAATGTGATGCAAAATCATGTGCTGATTACGAAGAATTAGTATCAGGTGGTAGATTGTGACGATGATCAAATCAAGTAAATCTATCAATATAAAAAAGGTTAGAATGTAAAGTAAGTAGGCGTTATATGCCTGATTTGTGTATATGATGGTTTCAAGTGATTATTTGGGATATAAAACGATTGCTCAAAGTAAGTTAAGACCAGTTGGCACTGAATAATTTGAAAAAAAAACTCCAGTATTTTTTGGTCGTGAGCTCTTTGCGGTCATAAATTAGGTGCCCCTGGGTTCCCAATACACTATTCATGAGAGGAAAAAATGGGTATAAGTGCTGGTTAGTATCATGTATATATGGGTATTTGTGAAGTTAGTTCGTTCTTAAAAAAATTATTGAAATTTTGCTTCTCTTTATCCTACCTTGAAATGGGATGGATTTCACCAAATATTAGAGAAGGCGCCAAAGTTTCTGTTTTGGGCCCTGTTGTGAGTGAAAATGTCACTCGCCCACTTTTGGGAGAATTATGGAAGAACAAGCGACTTTTCGCAACAATTTTACGAGCAGCACCGGGTAAAAACCGTTGGATAATTTC